GTATCGCGTCCCGACCCGGCAGGCTGGTTCTGGTCCAGCGGGGTATTCCGGGACACCAGCGGCACCGTCTGGGCGGCCCGACGGGCTGCCGTACCGAGACGGCCGACGTTTCAGAGCCTTCGATTCGCCTCGAAGGCTCCGTCGGCTGGGCGTCCTTGGGGTGAGCCGCGCCGTCTGGTTGTAGTGTTGACCGCGGTAGCCCCCCTACCTCATCCGGGTTCTGACCTCGGAGGGGATCGGACGTCGGGTGTAAGAGTGCAGGGGAGTCGTTTAGTGGGTGGGTCCTAAAATCCTTGGGCCCGCGGTCTGCTCACAACACCATGCAGACCGTTGAGTCTCACATACCCCGCGCGCCCCTTTTGCGCGGGGACCTCGTAGGAGGTTCGGCCCTCTACCCGAAAAAAAAAAAAGAGGTGCAGAGTCCAAGCCATACAATACTAAGCTACTGCCGTAGCTACAATACCATGTACACGACACGTAAGGATTTCTCTGGGACAAGGTCGCCAAAAAGAAAATGATAGATGTCTATACAAAGAATTTTTTTTTCTATGTGAGCCACAAAGAAGAAGAGAAAAATTAATGAATAATTGTGTTCAGGTCTATTAGTTTTTAATGAATGAACTTCTGATAAATACCTAAACCCCTCCCCAGTATTGAAATGTTCACTTAAATAACTTTGCTCGTAGTGTAAAACTTGTTGGTCATCATTTAGAAAATAGAATACGTACTGAGGGAATCCATACAGAGTCCCTTCTTTATTTCGCCGTAAAGTCGTTTTTATGTAATTAACACCACAGTTGAAACAATAGGAATTTTATTATTGTAGCGGCATAAACAATTCTAAGTTATTATGTATATTATATTAGTTATTAAACACATTATAAATCAATTTTCGTTTTAAATTTTTGGCGGTAAAAAGGTCCCGTGTCACACACAGACTATCTTCCTTTTTCCCACCTCTCGTACGTTCCGGCTTACGCATCATAAAAAGGTGCGTTCTTAAAAGCCACCGTACAATATAGTTATATCTTTTTCAGAGTGAACACGGATAACCAGAGTCTGGAGAACGAGGAGCAGCAGGTCGTGCTGAGGAGGAAACACCAAGATCCCCAGGTCAATAGGATACAGCGGTGAGTGTTGTCTTTGAAGCTGTTGAAAAAAATATATTCGACATTGTCCTCCTCCAACCTTGACAGTGACGACCACAGACAAGCAATTTACATTGACATTGACGTTTTGTAAATTTGACAACTGACATGCAGTGGTTAAACGATTGTTTTTTTAAGGGATTTTATGACCTGGTAACTAAGACCTTTAAGATCATATCTTATTTTAATTTGAATTCTTATTTTTATGAAAAACTAGCGACCCGCCCTCGCTTCGCTTCGGAAACTGTAATTTATTATTGATTTCTCCACCATTTAATGGATGTTATTATACATATAAGCCTTCCTCTTCAATCTCTCTACCTATAAAAAAAACCGCATCAAAATCCGTTGCGTAGTTTTAAAGATTTAAGCATACATAGAGATATAGGGACAGAGAAAGCGACTTTGTTTTATACTATGTAGTGATGATAATATGGAGTGAACTATTCACCGTCAAAGATAATAATCAAATGAATTGAAATTTGTAATAACGTCGTATGATGTCGAAATAAGGCGATTGTGTCTCTCCAAAAGTCGATATGCGGTATTTATGGTCGCGCTCTGTACGCTTCGAATGTCGTTAGATGTATAGGCCTTGCTCGAGCTGGTGGCGGTCACCCGCCCTGCACGGTTCCCTTGCCAGAGATGCAACTACCGTACCAAGTTTCCAAGACCCGCACGTTTAGCTCACGTGACACGTCATTACGGATCCTCCCGATCCACTAACGATGCTTTTAGGTACCTCAAGCATCGCTCATCGGTCTCAGTGAATTAACCCACACTCCACTGAGTTTCTCGCCGGATCTTCTCAGTGGGTCGCGTTTCCGATCCGGTGGTAGATTCTGCGAAGCACGGCTCTTGCTAGGGTTCGTGTTAGCAACGTCGTCAGGTTTGAGCCCCGTGAGCTCACTTACTAGTTAAGGTTACGCTGAAATAGCCTCTCAAGGCTTAGCTTAGACTAGGAAAGCTTAGGCAAAAAAACACGTGGAACTAATATACTATTTGTTTCTACCCGCAGTTCCAAAGAAGACATCCACATGGCTAATCTCAAGAAGAAGACCCGGAAACGAACCCGCAAGTTTGAGATCGACGGCGTCATCATGACCACCACCACGTCTAAGGTATTGTTGCCGTTGTAACTATACTGAGATGAGACCTTAGAACTTATATCTCAAGGTGGGTGGCGCGTTTGCGTTGCAGATGTCTATGGGCTCTGGTAACCACTCAATACCAGGTGGGCTGTGAGCTCGTCCACCCATTTAAAAATAAAAATAAAAATAAAAAAAAGGATTATGTCTGTGACCAGTAACAGATTAAATGGTCTAGTTTTAAGTTTGTAAAAAAAAAATGGACTAATAATGCAAGCGTTAACAGTCATCCCAATTACCTATGTAGATACCTATGTAGGATATTAGGCCAAAAGTGACAAAGATATTGTATCTTTTTTATTTTACTTTTTTTTTATTTCTTAGACGGTTGGACGAGCTCACGGCCCATCTAGTGTTAAATGGTTACCGAAGCCCGTAGACCATAGTAAATGCCACCACTCATCTTGAAATATGAGTTCTAAGGTGTTACTTATTTAACAGTAAGTAAGTTTATTTTTATTTATTTTTTATTGCTTTCTATAGGCAGACGAGCTTACGGCTCATCTGATGGGAAATGGTAACCGTCGCCCATAGACATCCAAACTACATCAGTGACTCAGATGCGCTGCCTATCCTGGCCTGGATGGGCAGCCTTATGTATGTTACACCGGCTATCCTGTCCTTCAGACCGGAACACAGTATTACGGTTTTGCGGCAGAAATAGACAGGACGGTGGTACCAACCCGGGCGGGCTTCTACACAGAACCCTACCACATAAGTAGTAAGTAAAGTAACGGCTGTCTCTCTCTTCAAACCGAAACTCTTTACTACTTCACGGTACAAGAATTATCTTTATCAGTCTTTGATGCTTGTGCAAATTGCCAAGTCATTCGGACGTCTTGTGGTCAGGACATACAGGACAAGTTGATACGAGCTGGTTGAGATAACGTCTGGTCTGTGTTCAGGTGATTTGGGGTGATGAAGAGAGCGGCCGGACCTGGGACGACCACGCCCTCCGCAAGCAGGAGCTGCGCGAGATCAAGATGCTGCAGAAGCAGGAGCAGAAGCAGTTCCAGGATCTGAACGCGAAGGAGCAGCAACTCAGGGAACAGCAGGATAAGAGGTGGGCGGAGAACGGGGCATGGTCGCAGCAGTAATACATATTGGGCCTCATTAATGCAGCAGCAATGCAAATGGGCTGTCTTACTGCAGCAGCAATGCAAATGGGCTGCCTTACTGCAGCAGTAATGAAAATGGACCGCTTTACTGCAGCAGTAAAGCATAATGGGCGGCCTTACTGCAGCAGTAATGCGATACTGTTTCAAGGATCGAGGGCATCTATGTATTAAAGAATTAAGACTTAAACACATGTCTCGAGGTGGGCATTAACATTTTCGATGTCCACGGACCTCGGTGACCATTTCACATGGACATCATTCTGCTTCTCGTTTTGTAACTTGAGGCATATACATGAAGTCGAAAATGAAATGTATGAATAGGAATAGTTCATACAAGGGGGGTTTTAAATTTTGGTTTACAAAGAGATCTTGAAGCTATTTTCATACATACAGCCTTAAATAACTCTAATAACTAAGCCTTAGTAACTCTTCAAGCAGCGGTCACCGTCCTCGTCGACTTCGACGAAGAGTTCGACGACCGAACTAGCCCACAGACACAGCCCACTGAGTTTCTCGCCGGATCTTCTCAGTGGGTCGCGATTCCGATTCGGTGGTAGATATAGTATTAGCAACTATCTCAAGTTGAGCCCGTGAGCTCATCTACCGAACCGCGTGTAGTTTGAATAGCACCTTAGACTAATAACGGTTAGGTAGGAAAAAATATTGTAAGACAATAAGTCACGTTAGTTTACGTTGTAGATGTCTATGGGCTCCAGTTTCCACTTTAAACCAGGTGGGCTATGAACACGTCCTATGAACCTAAGCAATAAAAAAATAATTAACAAGGGTGCTTAGTGTGAGTTTTCGATAACGTAAAAGCTAACTCAAATTTGCATGCAGTTGGAACAGCGCCCCTAGCGACAAACCGTATAAATTTGTGTTAACTTTTACGCTATCGAGAACGTTAACTCGCACGGAGCGGGCATCGTTAGTAAGGTCAGCGCTTGTGTCAGGTTCGAGGGCGAGCTGTCGTCGCTGTCGCGCGCGCACGAGTCGGAGCTGGAGGCGCTGGCGCGGGCGCAGCGCGGGGCCGCCGAGCGCGCCGAGCAGCAGCTGGAGGCCGAGCTGCGCCACGCCGCCAAGAGGCTGCGCGCCGAGCACGACCGCGACCTGCGCCTCTTCCGCGACACGCTCAAGCAGGAGCTCCGGCTGCTCAAGCAGGTGCCCACCTAGATCCCTCTAGCGCAGCGGTCGGGGAACCGGGGTAAATTACCCCACAAATGGGATAAAATGAAATTTTGGGGGGTAAAAAAGAATCGTTGTGATTTCAAACTCGATGAAACGAAATGAAACGAAACGAAAAAAAATATATTTTTTTTCAAATTCAAAATTATCATGGGGGCTATAATATGAAAGATGCTAAAAAGAAGCGATTTCGTTTTATTTTTGTTCTTCGCCGTGGGGTGATATCAACTTACACAAAACTATTTTGGGGTAATAATTAAAAAAGTTCCCCGACCGCTGGTCTAACGTCACCAGTAGTAATAGCAGTTTTATCCTGGAATTTTTGTAAGGTGCCCCGACTGCCCAGATCCCTCTAGCGTCGCCAGTAGCAATAGTAGTTTTATCCTGGAATTTCCGTAATGAACCCTACAAAGTTTGGACCAAATTTTATTGGGTTTTTTGAAATACTGCTACGAAGGGATTTATTAAGATTTCTGTTTTAAAACTCGATATAATTGGTTGTAATGTTGGGTTACCAAACCGACAATGATTGAAATAATTTAATTTCTGTACTTTGTTTAGTCTGAGGATAAATTGATTAGAAAAAAATAATAAAGAAGGTAGTTTTTCGATTTTAAATTTTTTTATTGTTATATTTATTTATTGCTTAAATGGGTTGACGAGTTCGCTGCTCATCTGGTGTTAAGTGGTTACTGAAGCCCATAGACATCTACAAAGTCAATGCCACCATCCACCTTGAGATAGGAGTTCTAAGGTCTCAGTATAGTTACAACGGCTGTCCCGCCCTTCAAACCGAAACGTATTACTGCTTCATGGCAAAAACAGGCAGGGTGGTGGTACCTACCCGCGCAGACTCACAAGAGGTTCTACCGCCCGTAATTACGCAGAGAATTGTGTTATTAACGTTTTTTTTTTCTATACAGGAAGTGGAATTAGTGTGCAAGGAGCGTCGTAAGGAAGCGTATCGCGCTCGCCGCGTGACGCTCGACGCCGAGCACGCCGAGCGCGAGCGAACATTCGTCGCGGCGCTCGCTGACACCAGCGACCACGTGCTGCGCCGCCTCCACGACGCGCACCGGCAGCGCCAGGCCCTCGCCGACCGCCAGTACCTGCAGCAGCGACATCAGGTGCCACGCGCCGCGCGACTACCGGCCCGGACGCTAAGAGTGACAGAGATGATTGTATCGGGAAGAAAGAGACGGAAGGAGATGGTTAAGATGGCAATCGGGTATTAGAAGTGTGAACGTTTCACGACGTGTGCTAATATATTTAATAATAGAGTGAAAGGGATGAATGTATCGGGAAGAAAGAGACGGAAGATAGATGGTTAAGATGACAATCGGGCATTAGTGTGAACATTATACGATGTGTGCTAATATATTTAATATGTTATGTACTTTCCCAAAAACTGGTATTTACTTTAAGCTAATCCCACTTACATCTGCTTTTACGATTTGATTCGTCCGTACCCACTATGTTTGGCTAAAGTCAGTGATAATAGTTGTAATTTTATTTAACCTATAGTCTTCATAAATGTTTATCAACAAACAAAAAGATACTGGTGGTAGGACGTCTTGTGAGTCCGCGTGGGTAGGTATCACCGCCTTGCCTATTCCTGCCGTGAAGCAGTAATGCGTTTCGGTTTGAAGGGCGGGGCAGCCGTTGTAACTATACTGAGATCTTAGAACTCGTATCTCTGTCTATGGGCTCCAGTAACCACTTAACACCAGGTGGGCTGTGAGCTCCTCCAACCATCTAAGCAAATAAATAAAGATTGATGAACAATGCACTGATTAAGTTATAAACAATATTTTTCTCACAACAGATAATGAGAACAAGAGAAGCAGCGCTGTGGGAATTGGAAGAAAAACAGATCCATGAACGATACCAGTTAGCAAAGAGACAACTCAAAGATGAATTTTTACTGCGGAGGCAGCAGATGCTAGTCAGACATGACAAAGAGTTGGAACAGATCAAACGGTGAGTGTCAGAATCAGTACAGAGCTGCAAAGGACTGTGTCTGTAGTAGTGTAGTATAGGACTAGAGGCTAGATGTAGGTCGGATCTGTGTCTGTTTGTGTACGAGAAGAGCTCGGGATCAGTACAGAGCTGCAGAGGACTGTGTCTGTAGTAGTGTAGTATAGGACTAGAGGCTAGATGTAGGTCGGATCTGTGTCTGTTTGTGTACGAGAAGAGCTCGGGATCAGTACAGAGCTGCAGAGGACTGTGTCTGTAGTAGTGTAGTATAGGACTAGAGGCTAGATGTAGGTCGGATCTGTGTCTGTTTGTGTACGAGAAGAGCTCGGGATCAGTACAGAGCTGCAGAGGACTGTGTCTGTAGTAGTGTAGTATAGGACTAGAGGCTAGATGTAGGTCGGATCTGTGTCTGTTTGTGTACGAGAAGAGCTCGGGATCAGTACAGAGCTGCAGAGGACTGTGTCTGTAATGTTACATGTTTCTCATTTACAGGAAGAACACAAGAAAAGAAGAAGAATTAGCCAAGTGTCAAGCTCTTGAGAAGAGATCGTTGCCCAAGCGCATCCGAGCTGAACAGAAAGCCAGAGAGATGATGTTCCGAGAGTCACTGAGGATCAGCACGGCTCCTCAGAACCACGAAGACGACAGGGATAGACTGAAAAAGGTAACTTTAATTAGTTCGAACTGAAATATAAAAAATATATGCAAGGTTTGTGGGTCAACATATATCGACGCTTGAAAGGCAATCCTGACTAAGCGACAAAAGTAGGCAAAATGAGTTAGATACACCATTGGAATCGTCTGATTTTTCTGCGTCGTTTAGTATAGGTTTCATCACTCTGTGACGTGTTTTATGTAGCTTAGATATGGTGTGATTTTCATAAAAATGCAGAGTTTTTTCCTAACAAACGACAAAAAAAAAGTTATTTTAGAAACATCCTGCAGTTAGGACATTTTAATAATAAGATATTATTTACTTAGTCAGTTATTCATGTATTTAAATTTTCATTTGTTTGTATTTATTTATTTTTACTTGTTATGAAATTTTTCTTTCAAACCACTTAGTAGATTTTACCTATATAAAGTAGTCGTAATTGGTACAGTTATACAATTTAACTTGAAACAAAATGGAATAATATTGAATCTTAGATAGTTTTACTTGTTTAACATAATACCCCTTTCCATCCGTAAATATTTGTACATGACAACATTTCTAATAACTACGTCGCCTAGATAATTTTACTTGATTAATTTCAATGGTTACTTTTGGCGCTTAGTTATGTTTACCCGTAAACAAAATATAATTTTTTGTCGCTAAGGAACTGCGCGAGTTTAAATACGTCGCGTGGGTATGCGCAACTAGTCGCGTACCACGTTTTGGCGGGCTGGTAAAAGGTGACATTCGTAAGCTGGGCGTCGCTTAGTAAAGTCGTTTGTCACATTATTTTGCATTTTGTTCCCATGAGGGAGATGTGAACCACCAAATAAGACCAAAGAAATGACTATAGATTCCGTAAAAAGATTTATCAAAAGTTTACAAAGTCGTCGTGGCCTAAAGGATAAGGCGTCCGGTGCATTCGTATGTAGGGATGCAATGGTGTTCGAATCCCGCAGGCGGGTACCAATTTTTGGAATGAAATACGTACTTAGCAAATGTTCACGATTGACTTCCTCGGTCATCGTTCCCGTCGAACCCGTCGCTTGCGACGAAGGGTTCGGCGAGTAAATTAACCCACAGACACAGCCCACTGAGTTTCTCGCCGGATTTTTTCAGTGGGTCGCGTTTCCGATCCGGTGGTAGATTCTGCGAAGCACTACTCTTGCTAGGGCCAGTGTTAGCAACATAGTCAGGTTTGAGTCCCGTGAGTTCACTTACTAGTTAAAGTTACGCTGATACATATTGTGAGTCTGCACGGGTAGGTACCATCACCCTGCCGTGATTTTTGCCGTGAAGCAGTAATGGGTTTCGGTTTGAAGGGTGGGGCAGCCGTTGTAACTATACTGAAAACTTAGAACTCATATCTCAAGGTGGGTGGTGGCATTTACGTTGTAGATGTCTATGGGCTTCAGTTACTACTTAACACCAGCTAGGCTGTGAGCTCTTGATCTGAGCACTAAAAATAAAAAAATACCAGCGGTACCTTCGCATTACTATCGTCAAGATTCGAGCAAAGTTTACCTTTCTGAAGAAATTAGAAATATCTACAACTTATACAAACTATACAAAAAGCACAACATGGATCAGGGCATGGATATTGTAAGCGAGAGAATTTTTCGTAAAATATTCCAAGATAATTTCAACATCGCATTTCATGTACCTAAAAAAGTCAAGCGTCATCACTACGAAAAAAATGAAAAATCCTGAAAAACTAAAGTGAAAAGTAATAACATGAAATAGAAAAAGAAGAAAGCTATACCCGTTTTAGAGCCCACAAAAATATACACCGAGATGATCCGTCATCTCATATGCTAGTTTCGGAAAAAGTACTCAACACGCCTTTTGCCCAATCTATGTTTTTGTATTATGCTCGTAGTAGGAAACTAGCCGTATGTAATTTGTGTGTTTATGAAAGTTACTACTGGGATGTTTTTTGTTACTACTAGGATGAGAGTAATGGCAAGCGTGGCGCCAATGAGATTGCAACTATTTTACATAAATATATTCAGTCCATTGATGCTAGAAGAAACTTTACGCGATTACTTCTCTATTGCGACAGTTGTCCAGGCCAAAACCGGAACTATTGTAGAGAATCGATCAAAAAATACCACTGTTTACGCATCATCTATTATTAACGCATATTTAATATTGTATAAAATATAATAGTAATAGCGTGATTTTGTTACAAAAAAATATATCCCTATTGTCTCTTACAATAAATGTTTATTCATAAATGTCTCGCTCTTTTGGTTTCGCTCTTTTGCATGATTTATCAAAGTAATTTATTACATTTTAGTTCAATTCTTTACACTTTCTACATGCATAAAAAAATGGAATAGTATTTAGATACATTTACTCGATTTGTTGTGAACTATGGGATCACTTTAGTCCAATATACCCAAAACGAAACTTTAAGCTGTGCGAATTTGTCTAACTTTACATGTTACTGAAAATCTTTCAACGATAGCTCATATTGTTTTACACGTTACTCCAAATCTTTCAATGCTGGCTTAGATAATTTTACTTGTGACGAGAAACCTTTTATATAAAATTCAGATAATTTTACCTGTTTATCAAATTATGGACAATATATATAAGCGACAATAACTGCTATATACACAAATGATAGGCAATAGCCTTTAAGTATATTCGATGGGCAAAAAAAAACTATATCTAGGTCTATTAAAATAATTTCAATCCTACAGTTAGATTCGTTAAAATATATTTTTTTCCAAATATTTCAACTTTAAATTGCTCTACTGTAAAGTTCACGCATTGTCGCTTAGTCATGTTTGCCTTTCAAGCGTCGATATGTATATGCGAGATGGTTACTGAAGCCCATAGACATCTACGACGTAAATGCGCCACCCACTTGAGATATAAGTTCTAAGGTCTCAGTATAGTTACAACGGCTGCCCCACCCTTCAAAACGAAACGCATTACTGCTTCACGGCGGAAATAGGCGGGGTGTGGTACCTACCTGTATTATAATTTTGCGGGTTTCATTTTTATTACACGATGTTATTCCTTCACCATGGAAGTCAATCGTGAACATTTGTTAAGTACGTGTATTTCATTAGAAAATTGGTACCCGCCTGCGGGATTCGAACACCGGTGCATCGCTACATACGAATGCACCGGAAGTCTTATCCTTTAGGCCACGACGACTTCAAAAGTACAGTTTATCTGTGTATTGAGTGATGTGACAAGACGTCATATATGGCAGAACTGTCATATAGTCCTTTGATCACATGGATTGACCGAAATGTCATTAAAACATGCTACCTCTCCCACTGACTCCGGGTTCGGGTCATAAATTTCCATACTTTGAATGCCTGAACCATTTTCTAATAATATATATTTTTTTGTATTCCAGTTCCAAGAGAACGAGAAGCGAAGGTACAAAGCTGAACACCAGAGGCTCGCCACGAAGCACGCCAAGGCCCGGGAGGAGCTTAAAGCTCAAGGCGAGGTATGTACTCGACAGAGACAACAGGCGAAGTCGAACTACCCTCTTTCTGTTTATTAAAAGCTTACGTAAATTAAGATGAAAAAAATGCTAATTTTGTTAATGCTAGACGAATGTTACTCAGACAATGTCACTAGCCGTGAGCACTTGAGGTCATCGACCCCCGCTTTCAGTTCAACCTAATTGAAATACATTGCGTATTAATTTGAGGGAACGTCTGATTAATGACGTAATCATTTAACATAAAGTGTGCTGCCGTCATTGATGGCACGAGCCAAAAACACGTCATTGCGGATCCTCCCGATCCACTAACGGTTTTAGGTACCTGAAGCACCGGTCACCGTTCCCGTCGAACCCGTCGCTTGCGACGAAGGGCTCGACGAGTAAATTAACCCACAGACACAGCCCACTGAGTTTCTCGCCGGATCTTCTCAGTGGGTCGCGTTTCCGATCCGGTGGTAGACTCTGCGAAGCACGGCTCTTGCTAGGGTTCGTGTTAGCAACGTCGTCAGGTTTGAGCCCCGTGAGCTCACCTACTAGTTAAGGTTACGCTGAAATAGCCCATCAAGGCTATCAGCTTAGGTAGAAAAAAAAAAGTCACACCACGCTGCTTATAGCTGCCGCGAAGCATATCTGCTTTCCAATTTGAGGAGTGGGGTAGACGATTTTTTTCCCTACCTTAGCTGGTAGCCTTGAGAGGCTATGCCAGCGTTACCGGGCGAGGAGGTAAGCTCACGGGGCTCTAACCTGGTGACGTTTTCAATACTGGCCCTAGCAAGAGCAGTGCTTCGCAGAATTTACAACCGGATCGGAAACGCGACCCACTGAGAATATACGGCGAGTAACTCAGTGGACTGGGGTAGCCAATTAACACCATGTGTCCGTATCGTTCTTCCATTCATACCATGATTAATAAACTTTCCCCGCGTCCTGTTCCTCCAGGCCATGCTGCGAGAACTCGAGCAGTTCCAGAACGAAAAGCGCAAAGCTCTCATGAACCACGAGAGCAACAAGATGAAAGCTCTCGAGGAGAGGTACTCGTCGGAGCTTAAAGAGTGGAAAGCGACTCTAGGCGACAGGAAGGCGGTGAGTTTTAACACTGACAATGTATATGTGTCCTTATTATTGGCAACAACGCGATCAGCTCTCGGTGGACCGCTGATGGAGTCCGTGGACATCATAACGCGAACACCGCACCCATTTCGAGACTATTAGGGGTATCAGTTGGATTATAATTGCGGAAAAGGACAGGCCGATGGCGGCATTCGCGCTGCTAATGTCCATGGGCTCCAGTACAATCTGCTACCAAGCGGACCGTGAGCTGTTTCACTCGTCTAGTTCTACAAAACAGAGAACGAATGTACGCTTCGCTAGAGAGCTTTTATCCTTTATTACTGTTTATAATAACACGAGAACTTGCCTAATGATCATAGAGAAAACTTATTTTGTGAAATGAGTTGATGCTGTGTTCAATATTTATTCTCGTTATGTAATTAATAGACGGATCATTCGACTTTAGCATCATTAAGGCTGATTTGTGTCGCAACCCCTTTGTACTCCCATAATTTCACCCAATTAATTATCTTGCTGCTTCTGATATCCGATTTATCCGAAAATAATTATATTATATATAGTAGAATATAACAGTAGAATTCTAATTCGATTAAAAAAAAATACTATTTCAAATGGAAAATTGAATCGATTGACTTCAATGACGTCACAAACTGCTTTTTTTTTCTTTCGTTTGTTTCAAATTCTGCGTAAATTTATCGTATTTATCGTATGACCAATGTAGAATAGGGGTATGTGTAATTAAAATTACAATACAGTCAATTCGACTCATTAAGTTTTAAAGCTTAAAGCTCTATTATTAGGCGAGTTCTCAGTTACAAAGGCATTGATTGCATCAAGAATACATTTTAACCTATAATAACTTTGTTAAATTTGGAGTCGACAAATTCAATAGCAATCTTGGAAAATGAGAAATTTTATATATGAAAATTTACAATTTGGAAATTGTAAAGTCTTCGGTGTTGCCACACTTGTACGTTTCGTGATTATTGCCAGCCCTTGATTGATTAATAATGATATTTTTGATGCATTCAGCTTTTTTTGTTGTTTCTGTCCAAAACTCTCTCCGATAAAGGCATATTAATTTCAACTTAGATTAATATGATCTGATACTTCAAACATATTTATTGATGCTTTATCTTTGATAGTTTTGGAAAATAGCATGTAATGTTTTATGAAAAAAGGTCTTATTCGGTATGCACTAAAGTCGAAATACCTTCAAACATTTTAGTACAAGAATCCATTTGATTAAGAAAAATCAAACATTCGTTCTAATTAATTGTGGTCGCTGCTTGAAATCTTGTTACACCGTCTGATTGTTTAATGAAATTAAAATATATGAGTCGACTATTATCAAAGCCGGCAATCTGACTTTTGAACAATTATTGGTAAATCAGAAAAACGAATTATTGACTTTGTATTCCATTGGCAGTCACAAAACTCTTCGGAACGACATCTTAGATAAATAACAGGTTAACTATTAACCTTTATTTAATGCAGGTTTTGAACTGTATTCTTTGAAGGAGACGATTATATTCAACTCAATCTGTATTGACATATCAATAAATTTTTTTTGTCCAAATGCACAGATTGCCACCTTTGATAATAGACGACTCATAATATATAATAATATAAATGGGTAAAAATTAAACACATAAATACCACTTTATCTGTTTATCAGTAGTCTCTTTTTACAATACGATTACAATATAAAGATAACTGGAACTAAAATTGTTTTTGTCTCTTAAATTACTGCAACTAATTTTAATAATATAATTTATAGTAAAATATAATTATTTATGGAAACTGTAATATAACAGTTTTTTCAAAATTTAAAATCTCTCTCCCGGTGTATTGATGATTTTGGGCAGTAGTAGCCTTTTTTTTTTCTTGACTACAAGAGACACAATTTAGTGCGATCATTTTTTAACTGATCATGAAACTTTATAGTCTTAAGACGGCGGCTCTCAACCTTTGTTGACCCTCTCATACATATATCGACGTTCAAATATACTCTACAAATTCGCGACGCCCCCTTTACATACTTGCCATATATTTGAACTATTGAAGTGAAATTTGATTTTAGATTTATTAAATCAGCATTGGCTGAAACGTTAGCTTTCCTTCGTTTCCTTTAAAAAAGTTGTATATTTTTAGGCCATATTATGTACCTCAGAGATGGAATATCGTGTTTGTCAAACTCGCGACATACTTGACGGGGGCTTTTGACTATGTCGCTACACGATGGTTGAGAACCGCTGGTCCGAAATTTCGCTTTTAATGCATACCAAATAAGACATGGGAGCTGCATGTACATATGTCCGTGGCATGATGAACAAACTTTAATTATCTATATAAATAACTGGTGGCGGTTTCTTTTGATCTAATCAATTTATTTATGGAATGCGTCGATTTTCGCTAAGGAAAAGATGTTATTATATTTGATGCATGCTTCGACAGTGTTGAAAATTACATTATATTATTATGATATGTAAATATGTATATATACGTAACCTCTATACGATTTATCTTAAAAGAGATCTCATTGAAGGTCTCATTGAAGAGCGTACTCTTAATGTCGGTGAAAGAAAAGAGTGTTTATATTTAATATACTAGCGACCCGCCCTCGCTTCGCTTCGGAAACATTAAATTTTATTATTGATAGCTGAGTTCCGCGATGTTACCCGCGGCTATTGTCGTACTATTGGCGAAGCTAGTCTAAAAAAAGTAGCCCAAGTTAATCCTTATATCATCAGCTACTTATCAGTGAAAGTCTCTTTGAAATCGGTCCAGTCGTTCCAGAGATTAGCCAAAACAAACAGACAGACAGACAGACAAAAATTGAAAAAAATGTTCTTGGTGTATGTGTCGTATTTAAATTCATATGTATGTAGTTAAAATCGGTTATTTCAATATTACAAACAGACACTCTAATTTCATTTATATACATATATAAACAAATCTTTTCCGTTAAAAAAAGTAACAAAATCAACGCATTTCACGGGTCGCGTTTATTCGTTTTAATTGTTTGTAAACGTCTTTTATTTATTTATTTATTTGTTATTTTGTCGTCCGTCAAACCGTATGTGCCGTCCCCTCACGTCAATCAAACGACAGTAAAACAACGGTATTATTCCACGTTAGCGACTGATAAACGCGTTCGAGTTGCAACTGGACGATCACGAGAAGAAGTTCGGAACGAAGATAGCGGACCGCAGCGTTTACCTAGACGCCCCCTGGCCACGGAATGTTCTGCAGCACGTTCTGAGCGTGTACCACCACAGGACCTCATTCATAGGCTCCCTGTCTCGTTCGAGGACCAGTCTGAATCTGCTGTCATCGACGACGACCCCCGACATGGATCGCAGGAGGAGCATCAGTCCTGGGAATCGAGGGACGAAGGCCGCAAGTGCGGACACGACGAAGCGCGGCAAAATGTCGAAAGCTTCACGCTACGCTTCGACGTCGAACTTAAAGCTCGTGTCGGAAAAGATATCCGGTTTCTCGGTCTTTAGCAGCGACGATTGGAAACGCGGTCCGATAATGGCGTACGGTGATGATTTCTCGTCGAGGATCGACGAAGAACCGAGACGGGCGTATGAGAAGACAAAGGTCGATAAAAAGAAGAACAGGCAGAGTCTGTCGGAGAATTTGTTCAGGGACCCGACCTTGACCCCGATGAAGAGGAGCATCTCGCAGCACAACCTGAAGCAAGACATAGCGATGGAGGCGGTTATGATCGATGTGCCCCCGGATAAATACGACACGGTCAAAAGCGGCAGCACGTTTTCGCAGAGCAGTGACCACGAGGACTCGGGTTTCAGCCGATGGGGGGCAGTGCGAGGATCCAACTCGTACTCCAACAGCGACGATGTACCAGTCACCCAGCTGTCGACCAGAAATCTGAAACACACTATACGAAACGAAGATCCCTACGATTCTACAGCTTAATTCAAAAGACCTAGAGGCGTGCCAAACGAATTACCCTAGAGTCTTTCGAAATTAGAATCGATATAATAGAGACGCGATTTAATACTTTGACTGTGTTTTTTTTATTGCTTAGATGGGTGGACGAGCTCATAACCCACCTGGTGTTAAGTGGTTACTGGAACCCACAGACATCTACAACGTAAATGCGCCACCCACCTTGAGATATAAGTTCTAAGGTCTCAGTATAGTTGCAACGGCTGCTCCACCCTTCAAACCGAAACGCATTACTGCTTCACGGCAGAAATAGGCGGGGCGGTGGTACCTACCCGTGCGGACTCACAAAAGGTCCTACCACCAGTAGACCTACCTTCTGCGGGGGACATTAAAAAACGGACTTTTGTTATGCTAAAAAAATATAACAAAAGCTTCAGCTATTTGAATGGGGTAAACTTTATTGAAGTCAATTAAAAACATCGAATTGTTAATGCTAAGGCCAAATAAAACGCGTCTTTAATTACAAAGATAAATGTAGACTAAACCAGATAGACCCCTCGATATATTTTGAGTTAAATTTTGTATATTTCTCAAAACTATTAGGTCTTATATGCACTGATTAAAAGTCCTTCGAAAATGGTCTCACGGTCAACGTTTTAAATTAACAAATGCAATTGTATAATTTATTCTGTATTGGTGGCACATGCGAGCAATTCCTAGGACGTTTTTAGTGCCTCTATGAATCTATAAACCCTGAGTTAGGAGGTGAGTGGGTTGGGCATGCAGGTCGGCTGCTAAACCTATAGTCAATGAGGACGCATGGCTGGGGAATGTGTCTTCGTTGGAGGGTCGTATCTTTGTATTATATGATAATGTGCGTGAGGCAATAATCGCGACAGTAATGAATGCGTGCGATTAATTTCGATTGGCATTCATTACCACCTGGTCATTGAAAACGTTTACTTGCAAGAGTACACCTGTAAATATTTCGCCTAAATCTCGGGAGTTTTATACAGGATTGTAATGACAATACCATGGACGGCAGAGATAAGGAGCACGATCTCTGTGTATGAAAAGTGTCCGTTAAAATCTGCTAAATAAGGGTGGCGCTACAGTAGCAACCGGGTAAATTTTAAAAAAGGCGCTGAAAGTTGTTAGAATAAGATAGAGAAATAAAAAAGGACGAAAGACCTGTAAACATTACAAAATCACAAAAAGTATTTTATTTAAAGCTGATAAGAAAATAGAATCGATGTCCTCCACGTTTTACAACAGCCATAATTTTAGGTTATATTGACGAAATTAGTTTGGACTACGTAAACATGTGAGGTCTTGTATATTACACTCTCACTAACTACTCTAGTCATTAAATATATTAAATTTTCTAACTCAGCATACTTCAATTAGTTAACAACTGCTCAATTCATATCATACCCTGTGCCTATACTAGCGCCATTCTCGAGGATTTTTGAACTGTTATTTAGTACTGAAAGTGGGACACTTTTGAAGCTTCTCCCTTATGAGACGGTTCTCCTTACCTCTACCCTCCATAGGCAATAATAAAAAAAAAAAGTTGCCATGTTTTGTGTAATCGATAGTTTATTTGACGTGTATCCACGATTGATTCTATATGAGTTGTTTGTACCACGGCGGTGGGTGCGTCTTCCGAACTGTACCTAACAACGAAAAATGTATGATAGCAGCGTGTTTAATGTACAATAATGTTATGTGTTTTGAAAATGTATAATTTTTGTAAAAGACAAAAGAAGTCTGTTCATATTTGTATTACAGTGAACTAACCGGTCACAAACTTGCCATTTTAGTGTTAATTAAATCATGACTTCCGGAAGGCCAAAAGATAATGTAGTTCTTCCTTCTTTTTTTTTAAATGTATATAATACAGGGTGTCCCAGAAAGAATGGATAATCCTGAAACACCCCTTATTAGAGCTATTGGTGACACACAAAAAAATAAAAAAATCGACTCGTGTCTTCCTTCTCTTTCACTCTCCAGTCCTTAACATTTACTTCAATTTCGAAATCATATTTTTGCTAACTTCAAAGTGTACACAGATAAATTATTATAATTCTAAGTAATTACTTATTTATTTTTGTATGTTTTTATTTAGTGATATGCGGGTAGGCTTATCGTATATCGATTATCGTATTGGGTGCGGAGCGATAACTTCTTGTTGTCTCTCTCGCACGCGAGCGCTGTGAAAGCGGTGACGCCATACCGTAACTAACCCCTACCGGATTTAAAAAAAAAGTTTTTAACCTCGTTACGAACACAGGGAGAACTTAAAATATATCTTCCATTCGATTTTATAATTTTGTAGGTAGTTTTAAAAAAAAATTGCATTCCAAATACCAATAGATTTGTTAAATTTAAATGTAAGTCATTGATAAATTACGATTACTTATAATAATGTTTTTTTTATTATTATTTAACATTTACCATAAACATTTAAATATACAATATAAAATTTAGCATTGTGTTAGTTGTGTAAACAAACTAAAATGTTATTAATTATCGGATTAATAAATTATTATGTTAATTGTGTTAATTTTACATTATTTTTAGTACATAAATAAATATATAGTAAAGACACTGGAATAAATACAATTCAGTTCTTTGTTGTTTAGTTTATAAATTAAATATATAATGTGTATGTGAACTACAAATGAAACATACATAATTATATAAATACATAATTAATAATTATTTTTGATTAATTAATATTTAAAATTAAATTATAAGTAATGTAATAATAAAATTCGAAATATATAAAACATATTGAATGTGNATATAGTAAAGACACTGGAATAAATACAATTCAGTTCTTTGTTGTTTAGTTTATAAATTAAATATATAATGTGTATGTGAACTACAAATGAAACATACATAATTATATAAATACATAATTAATAATTATTTTTGATTAATTAATATTTAAAATTAAATTATAAGTAATGTAATAATAAAATTCGAAATATATAAAACATATTGAATGTGGTTTGCTAATTCTTCAAAAACAAACCACTATGCCTTCTAATCTTACCCATATATGTATTTCCTTACATTCATATGTATATGGTTTTTTTATTGTCATTTTGAATAAACAGATGTCATCTTCATAATGTATATGCATATGTAGGTACACTCGTATTGAACCGAATGAGTAATTCCTTTTAATGCCCGCCACTAATTGTGAGATATCTTAATAAATTAATGTATAGTGTAGCGTGTTTAATTTTTTTTTTCTATTATTTTAATTTAATATTGCTTCATTAACGCATGACGCTTCCCCCAACACGGTGGTCGGAGATGAAAGCTATGGATTCTATGCTGCATGGTATGTGATTTGGTTTTATTAATTATATTGTTTTTTTTTTTTGCGACAAACGCCACAGAATGTGTAGGGCATGCGTAAGCGGGCGACATTGAAACTGTCAAACTGAGCCGTTGTAGAGGGGCCAGTGGTTCTCAATCACCGTGTTGTAGCTCTTTTTCGCACAGTCAAATATTATATATATATAAATATTTGTCATTAAAAGTAATAGTAGTTATCCGGGGGCAAGTCACGTGCGGTCGTCTGATCCCAAACTAGGTTTCCCTGTATTGTGGAAAACAAAACCAGAGACCGATATATGAGTTTAATACACTGTACACTATGTAACTATACTGAGACCTTAGAACTCATATCACAATATCTCATGGTGGGTGGCGGAATTTACGTTGTAGATGTCTATAGGCTCCGGTAACCACTTAACAGCAGGTGGGCCGTGAGCTCGTCCACCCACCTAAGCAATAAAAATACATGTATATACATACATATAGATATTTAGGACTGGCAAAGAGCAAATGAAATTGTTCGTCACACGAATGTTTGCTCAATGCGGGAGTCGAACCCACGACCCTCGGTCCGGTAGTTAGGTACCACCGAGTCAGACGATGTTCTTATTATCTACATATAATCAATACCCTAGTAACAGTGCTGGTAATTTTACAGTACATATTATTTATTGCAAATTACATTTTGATTTTTTTTATTAATTGTCATTAACTAGTTTACACATCGTATTAGTATATTATTTTTGAGACAACAAAAAAGGTTGAGAATCACTGTACTATAAACGAACGCTTCCTACATATTTTATGGTTATGTACATATTTTACATTGTACATATTTTATTATTGGTTGCATTTTTAGAATTATCGATAAGCTTTGTAAATACGCTAATCTTTCAATGAGGCATGTTGAGAAATTATACTTTTCTCGATTTTAGTACTATTGTAAATAAATAAATAGGATTGTAAATACATGAAATCTGATAGTCGACAATATTGAGGGTAGAAGTAAAGAGCACGATCTCAGTGTATTGAAAAGTGTAAAAGAGAGCCAGTGAAGGTGGCGCCACAGTAGCAAGTGGTAAGATTTAAAAAATGCGCCATATATGGTAGGATAGTAAATTAAGAAGGAATGAAACACTTCCTACGTAAATAGTAATAAAAATAAGTAGTTGAAATTTTTAATACTGTATTTTTTTTATTGCTTAGATGGGTGGACGAGCTCACAGCCCACCTGGTGTTAAGTGGTTACTGGAGCCCATGGACATCTACAACGTAAATGTGCCACCCACCTTGAGATACAAGTTCTAAGGTCTCAAGTATAGTTACAACGGCTGCTCCGCCCTTCAAACCGAAACGCATTACTGCTTCACGGCAGAAATAGGCGGCTTGGTGTACTTACCTACCCGCGCGGACTCAGGTCCCACCACCAATAAAATTAATTTACTGGTGGTAGGTTAATTACGCAATTCATGAAAAATACGAATTTGTTCAACTCGACAAGCTTTACTCTGTTTAAAACTGCTATATTCATATAATTTCCACTTCCTACACTAGCGCTATGTCGGCGAGTCTTCTAACAACAACTCGCTATTTACAGACGGACACTATCAACTTGTCCCCTATACAATATGGCGCTCCTTACTTCTACCCTCCACCGGAAACTGTTCAAATTTGACAGTTGACAGTAGGCAACGTTCATATGACAGTTATCTGTGATATATCGTTTAGAAATTTTCTGAACGTCATACTAATTGAAAACGCGAGTATTTTGATATTCGTCGACCTAGAATAATTTAATTAACGTATGTAAGTATGGTATTCATTAATGGTAGCAGTTACCCTCAGACTCGACTCAT